CCTAAAAAACCCCGCGGGGAGGGGGCAAAGGGGAGGCGAAGGACCCTGGAGAGATAGTGGCGTGGCGTGGCGTGGCGTGGCGTTGGCTCACATTTCACGGCGCTGCGCTGACGGGCGGGCGCAGGTGGCGACGCGCGGCGGCCCTCTTGCGACCCTGCACACAGCCCTCCTCCAGACCGCTCCTCCCCCTCGGGCCCTCCATCCTACTTCCGCCCTCTCCCTCTTTTCTCCTTTGTCGCCTCTCCCGTCCCATCGCGACTTTTGCCGCCCCGCGGGGAAGGACTAGGAAAAGCGCAGGACGAAGCACCAAGCGAAGTCCCACGCACATGGAGGCGCACATTTTACGAGTTTTGCGACGGCGACAGTACCCAGGCAGCGCTCCCTGCAGACTCTCCGGGAACGTGAAAGTTTTATCCAACGCGTGACATCAACAGATTCCAAGCACGATGCAAAGTAGCTATTGCCAAATGTCCACGAGTAACTTTATTTTTCTTTTCTTATCTTTTGGATACAATACAATGATCAGTGTTTAATACACTCTTCATTTGTTACAGTTGCTTATATCGTCTTATAAGTAACTTACAATAATATTTCTAATGCTATCCAAATACAGCTTAATATAATAAATATTTACATAACATCTCTACGTTGGGTCGAGATTATAAAATTTATTTAGGAATGTATGCAACGGAAATTTATTCTTGATGCAGTTCTGCGTTTTGAATTTTGGTAGGGTCTTAGAGAAGTTAGGTTGGGTATATTTGGGATGTTTACAAAGAAGGGGGGTGGGTAAAAATAATGTAGTTGGTTATTGGTTCTAATTAGAATTCTTAATGAAGTTGTGCATTGGGGATGTACCATGGGGCATTCGTGATGGTGCGGAGGAACTGATTTTGGATTACTTGGGAGTTTTGTGGTATTCGATTTGACAGCGCTGATACATACTGAGTGATAACAGTACTAGTCATATAGTTTTGTTTAGTAATGTGGCAGTATTGTATGGTAATTTAGCTGATCTATTGATTATTTATTGGTTTTAGTTGGTGTAATTTAATTTTTACATGTATTGTCGATGTAATTTTTCCTAACATGTCGGGTGTCTAAGAAAAGACCTAGGTATTTTATGGGTTTGTTATGAGAATGCCATTGTACCAGTTGTAAGGGGGTGAGGGGATATGAGTAACTATAACTATGAGGGGGTTATAATTTTTTCATGAGTTGATTGTTTAGTCCAGCGAGTATGGAATTTAAAAAACATTTTAAGATAAAGTTAATGAATGCAGAGACATAACCCCCATCGCTGTATATTTGTACGCTGTGCTATATATGAGCTTGAAAACAATTAAAAATTATTAAATTAGTGTCCGAAACTCTTCTTTACGTTACGTTACGTTTTTTAGCGTCTGCTTTTCTTTTCTTTCTTTCCTTTTTTTCTTTTTCTTTTTTAAATACGAAATACGCATTATTTTTATAATTTATACTCCCTATGCAGAAAGTTAGTTCTTCTGTATTAAAATTGTCACATAATGTATTCAAATGGTATGAAGCTTGTAAAGCGCAGAGTGAAACAAATAACTGGTCATTATTTGCGCCGATTTGTAACAACTTAATATATTTAATTTTTTACGCCTGCTCCCTGGATTCTTGAGTTTTGTATTTCAAGATATATCATGAATGAAACTATTCTCGCATGCTAGAATGTGTGCAGATTAATGATATGCATATTCGGGATGAAATATTTCGAATGTAAAAATCCATACCAATCTGTTTTTCCTCAGTCAGCAATTATTCATTACTCAAGCGTTACGGCAGAGGCACTGTAGAAAGTGTTTTACCTGATTTTTGAATTGTCTCATCAGGATATCCTTCGTTCATTTCCGAAGAAAGTAGTGTAGATTTTTAATGGCAGCCATTTTAAGCACTATGCGTACTGGTTCGATTCTACAAAAGCACAAGCATTTGAAAGTCGTGGAACAACAGATATAGTGCTCTACAAGAACAAAAAATATCTCAACAAAATGGCAAAGGTCATTATCATTGTATGTGCTGTAGGGAAGTTTAACTCCCCCTCCAAAAACAGTCTCTGAATGGTCATTTTTCTGCGTTATTTTGTTCTAGTAGTGCTTTCTGATACAATCAGATTCCACAATGTATTATACACCCGCAATGTTTATGTCAATCCTCAGAAATGTTCGTTATATCTCCACGTCATCTCCGCACCCGATATATGGTTGTAGAGTGTAATGGCTTCCTTACTTTGCATAAAACGATGCTATAGTAAGGGATTGAAATAGCATGGCTGCACAAGTGTAAGTGATAACATAAGAACACGATTACACACATTGACATTGAAAACACATTTTCAATTAAGATTTATTGAGATTTATGGACACGTTTTTCAAACAATACACATTTCTTAAAAAAAGTAATTATTCAATCTTCCTTGACAGTTGGCTCTTCGCTTTCCTTGACAGTCATAAATATATTAGAAAATGTTTTTACTCTTGAGAAAGCCAAGTAATATTTGCCATGCAACAGGATCGGACAGATACAACCATTGCAGTATTCTTTAACTTTCCTCAATTTGTTATCAGGATCAGAAGAAAGTTTTGGAGGGGCAGGGTGCCAACGTGCTGGGATGCAAAAATTGAAAAATTATGAGTGTACTAAAACGTATTGGATTTGTTTTTGTGTTCTTACGTACATCAAGAAAAGCAATTCAGAGCCAAAAAGTAATAAAACTATATTTTCACCTTAGAGAAATAAATGCCTTTTTTGCCATTAGAAACAATTCGGCTTAGACTTCACTTCGGTACATAGGAATGTTGCTCAAACGATGTTGAGGTATTGAATATCTTAGCGAACTGACACCTCAAGTTTAATATAAAACGTTATTTTATAGCAATGATGTACACTCTTCCAAATACTGCCAACATTAAAATCATGCGTCTGGATTGTGATTGTAGGCAGTTGTCTAGTGACTTGAGAATTTTTTCTATAATTTTAATTTTTTTAAAATTAATACACATAGAATTTATAGGCTATCACATTTTCATTCATTTCTTTCAAGCTTTTTTCCTTTAGTTAAATTTAAAAGTTAGTTCTTCGTGTTGTGCTATAGCACAAGTTTTCCCCTAACACCTTCGAGTACCAGTGCAGGAACTCTCATTTGTTTAACCTTATACTCTTCACTATTCTTTTATTTCCACTCAAAGAGTGAAACTTGTTAACGAAACTTACTTATTTGTTTAAAAACATTTAAAGGTAACTTCCATTGTAGTGACACAATATCAAATAAAAATAAGCACAGCAATTGATGTGAACAAGACATTTTCACTAAAGATTTATTCAGTATTATGAAGAGATTCTTGGAATATTTCACACAACTCCCTTAAAAGTATTTGAAGTATTTATTCAATATTCTTTGACAGTTGGCTTTAAATTTTCATGATAATCATAACAATATATAAAAACCACTTTTTACTCTTGAGAAAGCTACATGACTGAACACCCTGACTTGAATGTTTCAGTGAATCAATGCTGATAACAAAAATTCTCGTACACACAAACCAAATCACGTTACTTTACAATGCATTGCCAGATGACATTAAACAATTGAAGTCTGTTCACAAATTAAGTTAAAAGTAAAATCTTTTCTGCTGCATAATTGTTTCTATACAATTAGAGACCATTTTGATCATCAGAAAGAAAAAATAAGGTTTTAGCAAAACAGTGATATATAATGAATTAATTTACATTTTTTTAAATACTTAATTTATTTGTAACAAATAATGTACTTCAGCTTGTGGGTCAATGACCCCCACATCGATCATGTTTTTGTCCAGTTTCCCTGATCCATTGAGCAAATGCTGAGATGGCCCCTTGTTTTGCTTCTGGTTGTAAATGTAGCTTCATTAAACGCACATTTTGTTGAACTCTCATTTTGCTTGTAAAGGTAGGAGTAGAGGTAAGGGCGAGTTACTATTTTGTTAGCAATGCAAAAAAATCAGGCTTGCAATTTGTTTACGGACGCACAGAAGTTTTCTATAACTCGAGAACGAAAATGTCAACTTTTGTATATTGCTAATATCATGCTTTTTATAATTTAATTCTATTTATTTATTTTAAACGTTTACTCATCCATCAACTATTTATAGTTAAAACGATGGGAAGGATTCTGGAACTCAAGAAAACGAGTGGTGTTGATCGTTCTCCTCCATACGTCACATACAATTTTTACTGCCCGCCTCACCCCCCCCCCCTCCACATCAATCTAATCTAAACCTAACAAGACACGTCTTCACTCTACACAGTAACCACATCCTCCAAACTAGTACACAGACTTATAGACCCTAGCAAAACGTTAAATAAATGTTTCACTACACACATAAGAAAACAATCTTCATCGAAATTGAGCAACAATTTGTTTCTTCTATTTGTTGCTGCGGGAGCGAATCTTGAATAAATAATTATGTAAATAAACTCCACCAGTCTGCGCAAACAACAGTGTACCCAGAAATCGTAAATAGTATAAGATAGAGGAATCTAAGCCTTCTAAGGGTAACATTACAAAGATGGTCACCATCACCAAGGGTTGAAATGTAGCTGGGATTGGTAGTATTCATGTGCCAAACCAGCAAAAATGTAATAGAATGTTTTAGAATGTCTAGTATCTGGTAGATTACAGTGTGAGGCGTGTTTCTTTGATGCCTTCAGCCTCTAAATTTTAGTATTTATGGCCCTAGAACGCTTTGTTTAGGAGTAATTGAAATATATAAGTGACTGCATGGTGCTCATTGTATTTGACATGAATATTTGGATGTGTTTTTTGAAACAAATCCTTCATATTTTTAAGGTCAAAGTGCAATTTGTCACGTCTCCCTGAAATTCTTCCTTAGAGATCTCATTATGATTTATGAACAAGATTTGTTGCTTGTGAGAGCCGTAAAATTTATGGATACTACTGAAATAGCATAAGAGACGATATACCACAATCTTACCTGGGGAACACAAAGTGCTCTCTTGTTTTATTGTGGCAATAGAAGCACCATCACAGCAGGATGCAAGAGGATCCTATAAAAAAATAACAATAACAACAACAACAACAATAATAATAATAATAATAATAATAATAATAATAATAATAATAATAATAATAATAATAATACACAATCTCTTCATGCAGTAAAATATTGAGGTTGAAAATTCTAAATTTCATTAGGGAGGGTAACTGTAGCTTTGAATAATTCTAGCAATCCATGTTGCCCTTTACTCTCGGAAGGCACCTCTGAGATCACATAAGGAAATGGCGCGATGCGCACCTCTGTCAGCTCTGCCATTGTTTCGCGGTTTGGGAAGGAGACACGTAGCACTTCATTCTATTGGCATTTTATTTTAAACTATCTTGTATCCTTTCGTAATTAGTTTAGAAATAGTAACACCGTGAACTAAATATTTTTTTCTAAAAAAGACAGAATCTTCTTATAATCAAGGAAAATTACATACTAAATACGCCTACATTTGCTTTTAAATTTATTGATTGCAAAATAAGTGGAATAAACAGATGAATACAATGAGACAATAAGAATTATTTTATTTTTAGCACAAATTATAATACACACACACACTCTCACACATGAGTCCTCCAGCAAAATTTAAATCATTGAGAGGCGGCCCAGAACCTCCTCACCCAGACGGTGCGCGGAATGAATATAGTAGATGTTGCGATACTCTGCATGCAGTCCAGGAATATTGTCGGTCTTCAACCCTGGGTTTCGGATGCGACTAACCGAGCTGTTGTATGGATATGTGGAAATAGTCCAGTCCAGGATCTTATGCAAGTCCCAAGGGATGGATTCACCTGGATCAAGGGGTTCGGTGTATATTTCTATAGTGTTGATGCTGCACTCAGTGCATCGCTTGAGGAGTTTGAGGAATTACTTGATCGCTTAATAGATTACGGGAGAGAACAAAGGCCTCTTATTATTGCTGGGGACTTTAATGCATGGGCCACGAGGTGGGGCAGCAGAGTAACAAATCGACGCGGCGTGGCTCTCCTGGACAGCCTTGACAGTTTGGATGTCTGGTCTGCCTCTGCAACACAGGGCCAGTCCGACCTTTGTAATTAATGGTCGAGCTCGGTCGTTGACCTAACTTTCGTTTGTAAAAGCCTTGCTAGACGGATTGCATCATGGGAGGTTAGTGCACATTATACACATAGTGTAGCGCTATTGCCTATGAAGTGAAAGAGCAGTGCAAATTGGGTCCACCAAGGGGTAGAAGGAAAGCTGTTTGGAACCACAGGACGTTCGACCGTGATTCCTTCATTGTCACGATAGAGGACAACTCAACTCTGAAGATATGTTGGCCGGTGACTCTGAAGATATGGTAGAAACCGTAATGAACCGGGTATTTGATGCTTGTGATGCGTCAATGACAAAAGGTCCAAGGAGAGAACGCCGTCCTCCAGTGTACTGGTGGACTTTGCCAAGAATGCCACCAAACACGTAGATTGGCACAGCGCGCCTGGTGCCGCCCAAATTATGACTTTCTCAAGGAGCAGATGTGGAGGCCAGAAGAGCTTTCACAAAAGCCATTAAGATCAGTAAGTGTCGGTGCTGGAGAGAGCTAGGTAAGGTAAATGAGATACTGCTTCAACAAAAACAGTCTTCCGTCATTGAATTCTGTGTATTCACTTTTTACATACACGTACCAACAATGGACGATGAGTATTTTAGCCGTCAATAAAGTATTGGTTTATATTAACATGAAAGAAAAGGCACAGTCATTATCGCCTCCTGTTAACAGTGCAGCATTACAACGAGTTTCAAACAACAAGGACCGCTAATTCGTATGGGATACACTATGCCACTGAGCATCGTTGACACCGCTAGCAACAAAATGAAAATTGATAGCAAAATACATTTTTATATTCAGCAAAATTACTCAATTTTAACATGGATTACTTTTCATTCCCACACCTTAATAAGCCAAGCGAAATCATCTATTAGTTTCCACATTTAACTCAATTAACGGACACAGTTTAAAAATGGTATTTAACAATTTCTAAAAAGATTAATTTTGAAACTTATAACAAAAGTTTGAAGAAGAAACGAACAAAGAAATACGACATTATATTCAAATTCCAACTTCTGTAGCATCGAACTGCCCCAATACACCTCTACAAATTATGTTTACGAAGTGCAGAAAAAAGGAGGGGGTGTATGTTTGATGCCAAATTACTCAAAAACCCCTCATATTTTCGTAATAGTCAACACGACCATAGAACCCCATTACACAAAATTAAATAATATTAAAAGTAATATTTCTTTTCAAAATTCAAATGAAAGCCTTCAAGCATCTTTTACCGTTCACTATACAGTGTCTGGGGAAGAAACTTCGAAAATAAGCCCTTATGACAATTTTAAGCATATTTTGTCTAATAAACTTGGTCTGTATATATGGAATATTCGAATGGATAAGCCACAATAAGCACTCAAAAGTTGTTTTGAAAACATGATTTGTAGAAAAAAATTGGCATTTTACAAGCATAGAAACATTCCAGAAATATGTAAACTGATTATTATTTACAAAAGACATGTGTATATTTGTTCAGAAAGGAAATTAAGCAGGAAATAAACTAGTGGTACTTAAACAACAATTCTGTAATAATATTATATCACATTTCTGACTATATCTACACATTGCAGTCAATGAGCTGACAATAAAGCGGGCATGCAGCGATGGGTGCTGCCAACAATAGACAAATATTTTCTTATCAATTCTTGCTAAAAGCGCCCTTTTAGCCACTAATAGAAGTGTTTTACAGTTTGCATTGTTGTGGTTTTATGAAAGTTCTAAGGCATTCTTTATGGAACACTATTGCTTGCATCGATACATACAATTATTTTTTGCCATGTCTCCACAATATTTTAGGTTCATTCTATTTTTAATGTTTTATTTTAAATGAAGACCTACAACCAAACAAAACCATAATTGGTCTCTCCGTAATACATTATGAAGTTATAGATGCCCCGGGGAGCAGTAGACCAGAAAGCCCACTAAAACGGTTCATCTTTCTTGGCACGTTTGTATGTTATTAAATTTTAAAAAAAAGAAGTAGTAAACGAACGAAAACCATTAATACCTTTTTTTATTTCCAGCACATCATACCCAATCATATCCAAGCACATCATATCTAATGATTAAGCAAGGATAATTTCACAAATGAATGGAACATCCAATATATCCCTTTATGAATGCATTCAAAACAAGAAATTCATTACCTTGCACAAATGTAATATTTTCTCATAGCTTCAAACAATTTTTGAACATAATTTTAATCACTTTCCTATTCGTAAAAATATAGTATCTGACAAATAATTTCTTGGTGTCCCAGCATTACATTCTTTAAAAACAAAAATAATTTAATATTCGGAAGGAATTCAGACATAACATTACGAATGTCACTGGCTTCAATTCTTTTGTAACTTCTAATTAAATCATAATCACGAAATTTCGTTTTGCCGCGAAGGAAAATCTGGAGCTTTTAAATGCAGTGCATAGGTGACATATAAGGAGAAATGAGTACAAGTGGCTTGAAGTGTGGTGACCGTGTACAAGTGGCTGGAAGTGTGGTATATGTTTACTTGTGACGTGTTTCTGATTTAATCTATCCAATGATTGTCTCTATTTAAAGATATGAAAAATAAATAACCAAATAAACAATCATCAAACATTAATAAGTGACATAAAAACCCATTTTTATTTTGCATATTATAATAAAAATAAAAGTGTGCATCGCAAGTGTATCCATCAAGATAATTCTTATAAATTAGATTGGTATCTTAAGCTCTGAAAGAAACGCTCAAATGAATAAATATTCGAAATAAATCACCCGGATATCACTTCTAGAATTAAACAATTATTAAATAATTCCTATCTCAATCATCTAAAATCAACTAATAAATTATCAGTCACCCAGTTTATTCAGTGGACTTCATATTGTATCACGACATTCCATTGTTAAATTGCCAGTTGATAACCAGCATGAGCGAATAGCTGAGAAGGGAATCTCAGATTAGTTTGTACAAAATTATTGTATGCAATATTTTCTACTTTTCTTTCATATTACATTCAAAGCTTATTTTTAAGAGAAAATCTAACCCTGTCCATCTAGCTCGAGTGGAATCTCACCATTTTGAAAAAAAACTTCTGAACAGTTGGGGTAACTTTATCCACAAAGGCCCCCCCCTGGCAATTTTCAAATCTTTTCAAAAAAAAGGCCCCAAATCTTTTTAAATGTCTTGTAGATGTATAGAGTAAAATACACTATTACAGGTGGCATAGGTCCAATTTTCTGGTTTAACTCTTAATTTTTGAAAAATTCGAAACATTTCGGGTCTTCTTACAACTGGATACATTTATATACATTTGCAAGGAAATTTCAATAAAAGGTAACATTTTTAATTGCGAAATAATTTGCGTTTGATCACAGAAATTAGTCAATGATCAGCTGGTTAAAAGCTACTTCAGGCAATGCAATTTTCACCCAATGATATTGTCATAGGCATTCCATACTAGACTGAGGGCAAGTATGGAAAGAGATAAAGGCACTAAATAACATGGCATGACCGCCATTTCAATGCATTCTTTCAATTCTTCAAAATTGCACAAATGTATATTCCCCCCCCCCTCAAGACCTAAACATCTACATTATATTTACATTACTAGTATTTCTAATAAATTATTGGATTGGAGAACCACATCGGTGGTTCAAATGATTTCTCAAGAAGTTTCACACAAATTTAAAGCTATTCTCTAAAAATGAACTCAAAATAGTGTATTTTTAAGAACGTTCATCTGGCACACATTCACTTGAAGGCTCCAATTACAATTTGTACATAGACTTGCTATTCTATTATATTTTTGAAGACATTTCAATTCTAGCACTAAAAGGACTGAAAAGTGAGAAAATATGCAGAACTGTCTTTAAGGTACCAGTTGGGGCTCTTCCAAAGCACAAGCCTGACTAAAGATATTTCAACCAACTAGTATGGGAAGGTCTGTGCTATTCTGCAAAACCACTAGTTTCTTAATAAAATTTGTAATTTAAATTAGTCATGTACAATTTTTGCAGATTACAAGTGATTTTGTTCTAAAACTTCCTTTAACTCATACAGGCCTTTCATTTAACACTTTATTTAAAACAACCAAAAAAGGCTACAAAATATCCCCCATGCCATAAAAAGATTTTAAAAAATTACAGAAGATGCAAGTGAGATTTTTGTAAGTTTTTAAAAAGTGCAAGTTATACGAGAACTAGAACTAGTTTAGTAATAGTTCTTTGAAAAGTTGTGATATAGAGGATAAGAACCTTATCAGACAATAGCTAAAACAATGCTGTTTTGCCTGTATACAGATTAGAAATATTATTCCAATTTTCCGATCCAGTACCAAAGACTAAGAGGCATGCTAAAAATTGCAGTTTTTCTTGAAATTATTTTGGTTCCTCTCTGTTCTTTGAGAATGGAATGTGACGAGTAAAGCATATTTCCCATGCACATCTATTTTCAAATACTCCTGCAAAACACACAACGTCACACACACACTGACACAGACAATCTCTTTACTTCAGCAGCATTTCTGTAGCTGATTCTACATTCGCCAGAATGAAGTCCAAAAGAATCCCATCTCATAATTCATACATCTTTTTCCACACTGTCCAGCTAATTTGCAAATTAATTTCATACGTCACATACTAGCCATATTTCGGACTTTAGTAACCTGTTCTTGCATTAGATTGCGAGACACTGGCATTCTTCATAATTTCAGAGAATCATTCGCAATAAAACTAAGAAACTTATTGAAAATGAAGACATTAAGGACGGAGTTTAACACACCACCACTCAAAGATTTTTTTGTATTAAAAAATCATCCTGTAAATACATTTGATATCCATACCTTCGTCTCTTCAATACAGCCTCCTTGCTGCTCCTCCATTGGCTGAACATACACAGCAAGTGGAGGGTCCAACACCTCCTGCACAGGAAAACAAAATTATGTCATACTGCAATCAAACTAGTGGAGCAACAACAGCAAATACTTCATTTTATATTTGACATTGGCTAGAGAATATTATAATGTTGCACGTTCCATTCTAACACTAACATATTCAGTAAAATCTCAGTAAAAAGGACTTCAGTATTACATGCATATTTGAAATCCCTTTTTAAATGTCATATGTTACAATGTAAATATACTTCTCTTTTATGAACTCTTCACTCTGACAAATGTCAGTATTACATAGTAAAAATATATGGACTTTTTTTATTTCATAATATTTTCATTCCTTTTGATCTGCTGTTGTTCCCAGTTCCTCTGGAACATGTCTTATGACATTTCCTTTATGGTTATGTCTATTGTTTGCAACATGCATTGAATAACATCGATTCGATTCTACATGACAATTGAATTCGTGAGGACCAAGACCTAGTTTGCTGTGATCACTGCAGATAGAAGTAGCAGCAGTTAATTCTGAATAGTGAGATGGGGAATCCCAAATTTTCCTATTTTGAATATTACGAACTTATGGAAATTCACTTCACATCATGGTAATGATAGCGCACACTGTTTGCAAATTAACATTGCAAAGCAAATTGCAAAATAATTGTGTTGTGGTGGTTTCAGTTTTCTAAGTGCATTTTGTGGTGATTAGTAGTCATATTCATAAAAATTACATTCCATAAGGGAAAGTAAGAAAAGGAAACGGTTCACAATAGAAGAGAATGCAGCTCGAGAGTTGAAGGAACATCATCTGAAAAATGTAATTGAAAAGTATAATCCTAATGATAGTTTCAGTGCAGATAAAACTGCATTTTTTTATCATGTTCTAAATATAAAACATTGTCTTACAAGGGAGAAAAGTGTGTAGGTGGAAAACAGATAAAAGAAAGATTAACAGCATTATTTTGTTGTAATGCCACTGGCACCAAACATTAATGCTTATGGTAGTAAGAGAGAATAGAGCCAAAATGATTCAAAAGTGTGTCATCTCTGTCAGTAAAATATACAGACAATAAAAAAACATGGATGACCAAAGAACTGTTTGCAGAAACATTCTGTTGTTAATAGATAATTCTCTGTTCATAAAGCCAAAAGAAAGATTAACAGCACTATTTTGTTGTAATGCCATAGGTACTGAAATCTTGAAGCGTATGGTAGTAGGACGTTGCATAAAGCCTAGATGATTCAAAGTTGTGGCATCTCTGCCAAGAAAATAAACAGCCAATAAGAAAGCATGGATGACCAAAGAACTGCTTGCAGTCTGGCTTCTTGAGCTCAACAAATATATTGGAAAACAGAAAAGAAAAATCCTGTTGTTCATAGATAATTGCTCTGCTCATAAAGTAAACTGCTGGTTGGAAAATATTATTACGAAATTCCTCCCTCCCAACTGCACTGCTGTACTGCAACCACTAGACCAAAGAATTATTCAGACCAGGATTCTAATCAACCTTAGATTGAAAGTTGCAACCAAAATCAACAACCTGCAAGAGGTGCACGAGTTGCAGGGGTTGGTGGAATGTAGAAAGCAACACCAATTGCAAACTGTTGGAGAATATCAGGAATTTTGGATTTCCAAGACAAATCTTCACCACAGGTTGAAACTAGTGAAGATCATTGTCAGGTATGGAAACAAATTGCGAAGGAGTTAGAACTTCCATCAATTGTTACATTTGATGATTTTGTCAATATTGATGTTGGGACTGAAACAAATTACTGCCTTTCAAAGTGACATTGTGGAATCTTTGACTAAATCACAAGAAAATAATGAAGAGGAGGAGAAAAAAAGTACAAGGAAAGATTGAAGTAGTATCTTCAACAGAGGCAGTGAAATGTCTTGATAAGTTAAAAGTGTATGTTTAGAAAAATATAAATATTCCAGACACAGTTCTCAAATTATTATCTGAGGTAGAATAGTTGTTGGAAAGCAACTTTCTCAAAAAGACAAGACAAAAATTTTCATCGGAGATTATTTTAATAAG